TAAGAGAATCACATGTCCAAGGAAAGTTAGTATGCTGAAGTTTGTTTTGAGATGACATATTAAAAGCAACAAAACTGATAACAGTGTGGTAAACCACCGTATTGAATTCACGATCAAGATAATTTTTTTGCCCTCATTGTTCATTATCAAACTCGATGAATAAAAGGTCTTCGGGCAATGGCTCTTCATATCTTGATAAGTCTTCTAACCATCTTTGAAATCGAGAATAACTCCCTAAGCATATAATATGATTATCAATATCGATAATCATCTTTGATCATGCAATTGAATACTTAATAGCCGAGATAGCAAGATGAACTTCTGATACATATTTCTCATATCATGCTCCATATATTAAATCGATAGCTACAGAAGTCTTAAAAAGCTTTTTTTTGGCTCATAGTACTAACATCTTGATTGTTTGAAATCAGGATTTCTATAAATTTAATGATGATCTGATTGCGTTTTGTAAGCTATTCGTGTGGATTATATGCCATAAGACTCTCTACAGAAAACCTAGACTTATCCTGAACTAAAACTCTTATATCATCAAATACCAATACACGTTCTACATTTGCTATTTCAACTATTGCTTCAATACATTTTTGTTGAGTAGCAAACCTTGAATTCTACTGCTCAACAAGAATATGATTACACTTACCTTGTTCATCACATAAAACCCAAATATCAATCATATTATTATGAGCTCTCTGCAATTGGCTTTTTAATTCTTCTATTTCACGCTTTTGACCTTCAATATATTGCTGCATTCGTGCAATTTGATTATTGAGGTCTATTATTAACTGTGATTTTTGCTGATTTCTACTTGCACGGCTTCCCAATTGTTGAATCTACATAAACAATTGGATTATCTTCTTCAACATTAATTGTTAAATTTTTGTGAACACTTGGATTATCCTCCTCATCAATTCGAATTCTTATGCTTTCTTGAGCGGAACCTACAAGACACTCATAAAATTGGTTAGTTGAGGCGATTTGAAAATAATGTGAAGAACAAAGAGAATGAGATTCTAAAGACAAGTTAGCAAGTTCAGGAACGTAATCATAATAATACGCAAGTTGTCTAGCTACTTCAGGGCCATCTGCATTCCGCCATTTCTGTAGCTTGCTCATTCCGCAAGGTCTTTGCCCAAAGCTTTCATATGTTTTAACTAAATCCGCAAATAAACATTTCTTTTCGTGCGCTTTCTTTTGCTGTTGTTGATCAAACACTATATAAAGATTATTTAAGACACTATGTTAGTAACAAGATTAAACCTTCTTACTTAACAATTCGAAAGAAACTCTTAGCTTTAGTGTCTCATTTACTTTTTTTAAAACGGTTTATTATGAGGGATCAAATGGGATCAATTAAATTTGGCGTCTTATATTAACTATTTGTATATCGTTTGATATCGAATGAATAGGGCGAAAGCCCACAGCGAATATGGGCACAAAAAAGCGTTACACGGCCAATAAAATTCGTGAAACGGTATTGGATTATTCTAGAAGATGATGTCCTAATTTGGTAAAATCCCTGACTGTATTAATGAAAATTTTGATTTGGGATGCCCACGTGAGCATGCCTAAAGATTAAAGACTTAGTAAATATATACGTAGTAAAATCATTCATGATACATGTGATTATTAAAATTTTTACCGTTATAAATACTGTAACGATAATCAAATCAGCTAATCATATGTAAGTATTCCCGTGAGACACAGTTGTTTAAACATCGAATATATCAATAAAAAAGAAATCCTAGAAAATGAGTGAACGGTAAGTTCTGTATGAAAGTCTTGTTATTCAAACTTTACAGTTATAACTAACCATGAAATCACTGATTTACTTTATAGCAAAGTTTTAAATAAATACTTTCCGCCAGATTTCGATCCAGGTTAGTAACGTTTTTTGTAGTCTTTTTCTTTTTAGTTACCATTAATTACCATTAATTAGTTATACTAACTGAAATTATTTAATTTTACTAAAATTATGGTGTATAGCTGGTAAGTTATTTGCCGCATTATTATCAAATTATTTTTTTTTACACCTACTTAAGATAGCGATTTAGATCTAATTACAATATTGAAATCTTTTATTAGCGATTCCAAGACGAAAACAAGCGAAAGATGCACAACATAAGGTACTATTAAAGTTATTTTAGTTACAATTAAGGGGAATAAAAATTATCAATTATAATTAAAAAAACTAGTTATTCTTTAAAAATAGGTCCGTTTGATGACACCATATGCTATGAGATGTGAAACATGTGGTGAATACATTTATAAAGGAAAAAAATTTAACGCTCGTAAAGAAACTGTTGAAGGGGAAACCTATCTATCAATTAAAATTTTTCGATTTTATATAAAATGTCCAAGATGTTCAGCAGAAATTACTTTTAAAACTGATCCTAAAAATACGGATTATATTGCTGAACATGGAGCATCAAGAAATTTTGAACCTTGGCGAGAAGAACGGATTGCAGGAGAAGAAGCAAAAGTACAAAAAGAATTAGAAGAGGAAAATAATCCAATGAAAGCATTAGAAAATCGTACATTGGATTCGAAACGAGAAATGGATATTTTAGATGCATTAGATGAAATTAGAACAAGAAATGCGAGAAATGAACGAGTTGATGCAGATGCTTTATTAGACAAATTATTAGAATCTGATCAAATTAATGAGAAAAGTGAAAAAGAAAAGGAAGATGAAGAAGATGAAAGGTTGGCGAAAGCTATATTTAATACGGTTGATGGAGATAAAGTTAAGAGGGTTGCAGATGAAGAGCCAGAACTTTCACAATTACTCTCTGAATCAGCAAAATCTTTTGTTATGCCGAAATTTAATAATACAAATTCAGCTGATAAAAATAAAGTTGCAGAGAATTCGAATAAACGAAAGAATGTGGGATCCGAACTTGGAATTGTAATTAAAAAGAAAAAAACAGAAAATAATAATCCTCTAGGCTTGGTAGATTATGGATCTTCTGATCAAGATTCTGAATAAATTAAAGTCTTTTATCCTTCAAGAATATTTTTTTTTCGAAATTTTGGTAATTTTTAAAAATTGATTTGTACCGAGACTTTGTTTACGCGATACACATTTGTTGTAATTATATAATATTAGATATGGACGGTGATCAAAATTGTTTTTACATAATATTGGAGGGGAGATAATTTGTATTTTAGAATACATTCAGTCATACGTCTGGGGACAATTATAAATGTCTTAAGTCAATGACGATGACGTTTATACCGCGGTAGCGGAACTGTAAATTTTTATTTAGATATGTGGCCTAAAATAAAAATAGCCATACTTGAAGCTAGGACACTAATGCTAAGAAGTGCGTAGCATTCTAGTTAAACTGGTAGGTTCACAACTTTTTTGGGGGACGTCTAAAGCGGAGGTAAATCATGTGATCAACCGCCAATCAAGTTATAGAATTTTGATGATCGCTGGCGAAGCAAAACAAGAAATAAAAACAAAAAATCCGAAAAAATACAAAAAAACGGCATTCTAAACCTACCTCGGGTAAGTTAATCAAAAATGTCGGGAAGGCAATTTTGCTTATATATAACTACCTAAAACCTAGCCTAACCCTAACATAAGATGACCCTAACCCTAAAGTTAATCGAGAAAATTATTAAGAAATATGATTGCCTCCGCTTTGGACGTCCCCTTTTATACATAATAAATTTGAACGGATTATTGTAATTATATTTGAATTATTTTTAAGATGACATGATTCTAATTTAGATAATTAATAATTCAGTTCTAAAAATGAAGGAATTCTATGTCTCTAAATAATTTTTTTTTTTAATTTTTACGGTCTCTATTATATAAATCTATATTTCTAAATTATATAAAAATAATATTAAAAATTGTTTTACGAATCGTTCAGTGGAATGACACCACCCGTTCTTAAGAGAGATAACCCATGAAAGAAGTTGCTTATATTGATTATATAAACAATAGAGTTTGTAATAATAAATATATTACAAGTGATTATCCCTTTTAATAAGAGTTTAGCTTCATGTCCATGTGTATTTTTCATGGATTGTAAATTGAGTGTCAAAGAAATTATTGGAAATATTAAATAATAAAGAGTTCTAGATAATTCTATTTTAGCAAACATCTTACTGTAATTGTAAATCCACTGAAAATTCACTAAACTCTCAATCGATGGATCATTATTTAATTGTTGCGTCTGAAAAATCGAATAAGAATTGACCGGTACACTTGTTGATAGTGATTGTCGAAGACTTTCCAAATCCTTTTCGTATTTTTTTTGTGAGAAACGAAATAGAACTTGTGTGAGAATATTATGAGATGCTCGTCCTACTGAAAATATTATCATCGCTTGAAAGAATGGTGAAGAAGATAAATTATATTGCTCATCAACAATTTGTT